AAAAAATGCTAAATTCTGCAGCAATGGTTGATTAACCGTTCTTGATTTCCAAGGATAAAAACGTATCTGATAGTAGCAAAGATCAAAAGTTTTCATCAGAAGTAAAAAATGGTAAATTCTGCAGCAATGGTTGATTTCGAATACTTCGAGAAGTATTTGCATATTTTTTATGATCAAACCTCAAAATTCACTTTTTTCAATGATCCCATGCAAAAAGACCAGAAGTAACAAGTAATCAGTAAGATATTATTACCTTCTAAACACACATTTGAATCATTTATCAGCACCGATCTTGAGGCTCGTTTGACTTGTCAGCACTTTTCGAATCAACGCATGGGGTAAGAGGAGGAAAACTCGGGACAGCTTTCAAGATAAATTTACGCCCAGTTCGAATCCCAACTGACGAGCTCGAGCCGCTAAATTCATGCAGCCTCACATGAGGAGGAGAAACACGTTTCTTGTTCGGTGAGCAAACTTTCACGCCATTGACAGGGGTAAAACCGTCCTTTAACATTTCCGGCGTATCATCCTGGATAACACCACTGGATGACTCACCCCCAAACTTATGATGATGAAGATTCGATTGTAAGTCATGATCGAAAGAAGCCAGATCGAGCATTATTTCGGGGGAATTTTCACACATGGTGTTATTATTATTAATATCATCCGAGTTCACAGGGGACCCGTTACTAATCATGTATGGTGCCACATATGCGAAATCAGTTTCGGGTGATTGGGAGTACTCTCCAGAAGGGAACCAAGATTTCGATGCATCCTTTCCATGGCTGCGTTATTTTTTGAAAGAGAAAACGGTTAAAAAGAGTTAAACGAGCCGAACTACAGAAAATTATATAAAAATTGTCTTTTCGAGCTCATTAACCAAAGGAACTTTAAATGAGCTCGAGCACTAGTGGAGTGAAAGGGACATTCTTGTGTGAGTGTGAGAGTAAGAGGGCCTTACTTTGAGAACTGGAATGCCGGTGTTGGAGGAGTCAAATGGTGTGCGTTGAAAACCTCAGTATGGTTTACAGCCATATTAGATGCCGGCCCATCTGCTATCTCGTAATCTTCTTCACTCAACACATCTTTAATCGAGCAATATTCTGGGAGAAATATAGATTGTACAGATTAGAAGCAAGCAAATGTTTGTAGTTATTAAAGAAAATGTCTATATACAGAATGCAAAGTGGAAGGGGTTCATGGAGATAATCAAAGATAAAACTATTCATTTTCATATCTTAACAGTCATTTCTGTACGTATCCTACACTCATACATACCAAGAGAGAGAGAGAGAGAGAGAGAGAGAGAGTTAACTGTAGTATATATGAAAACATTTGGCAACAGCTATTAGTCTGTGAACCTTGTGCATTTTGCAAACTTTTACAATCTAAATGCTGATTACTTCAAGGATTTAACAAGAGATAAAAAAATAATAATAAGATCTTAAATGAAAGCAACATCCTTGGAAGTAACATGGGTTTAACTACGAAGGACAGTTAGTTAAATTACCCTTCACTTGTCACCCAATGAATGAAACAGATCTTAAATGAAAGCAACATTTTCAGATCAAAAGTAAGAGAATGTTATGGATCAAGATCAACTACGAAGGACAATAAGTTTAAATTACTAACCCTCAGGCAGAGCCACAGCGGATTTTCGAGCAACCATAACACCCTTTTGGCCAAAGACATTTTGGCATCCTTCACATCGGCATCCATCTGAACAGCCAACTTTTGCCTGCTCAAAATGAAATCGTTCAAATAAAACAAAAAACAACTCAAGATAAAAAACAAATGCGATACAAATTTTGTGAGCAGTACACGTACACATCTTATACCTGATAGCACTCACAGTACTTCTTGAGGCACATCGACTTCTTACATTTGCACCCTCTTTTGTGCCTCGCTGAGGAAGGTGTGAAGGGGGTCCCATCTTCCTATAAAACCACAACATTTCAGTAAGTATGTTGTTTATGGTTAACTAACTGAACGTTCGCGAACAAAAGCTCGTTCGAGCTCGACAAAAGCTCGTTCGTTTGTTAATCGAGTCGAGTTCAAATAGAAAACTAGGCTCGTTTAATAATCAAACGAACACGAGCTCGTTCGCGAACGTTCGATAATGTTTGCGAACATTTGTTTTGATATAGTTTATTTTTTTTATATATTTACATATATTTTTAATAAAAAAATCAAAAATATAAATTTTTTTTTCGAGTTTGAACAAACAAATTTCAAGTTAATCAAACATATATAAAAAATTTATGTCCTAAATTATTCGAACTCGAACTTTGACGAACAATTAAATGAACGAGCTCGAATACGATTTTTTGCTCGAAAAATAAACGAACGAAGCTCGAACAGCTCAAGCTCGGCTCGTTCGGTTCGATTACAGCACTACTTATGGGCCCACTTCATCATAGATTCTGAAGGCAAAACAATACCCTGTGAATGCTAGGAGGTTGTATGGTGACGCGTTGTACAACTCTAGGAGCGAATGCAAGGGGATCTCTCGATTCAATCTTTTGCCTTGTCTCAATAACTGTGGCCTCATGTTCAGGCGTGTTAAAGCAATCTTGGCATGCACAAGGTTCGGCACAATAGATCCCGGCAGCAAAGCAATCACAGTAACTGCAGATAAACGTGTACAGAAATATTGAGATGGTGAATAGAAGCTCTGAGGGCGTCAACTGATAGAAATTTAACAATTTGGTGAAAATTAAAATACTTACAGCTTCAAGCATTTACTCTTCTTACAATTACAACGTTTGCAACCACCGCCTTCTTCACCTGGGTCTGATAACTTTATCCTGAAAAAAAAGATTGCGAAAAGTGATTCTTCTAGAAACACAGTGTAAATATGGAAATTATATGGAATGGAGATTGAAGCAAGACAAAATAGACTCGCCTTTTCTTTTGAGGGCTCGACTTGGGGAACTCCTTAAATCCACCAGATTTTTCAGTACACTTCCTCTTCATACCTGGTGTTGACTCTTCCTCTAATGAATTTAAGATGACGGAATCATTCTGAAGAATAATTTGACCTTCATGCCTATTATCGTCAGTGGTGGCTGAAAGATTCTCCACTGGAGGTAACATTGAAGAATAATTCGAGCAATCAACTGGATGAGATTCGTTCACGTGCATGGATTTCTTCCCGACTATACTGAAATTACCCCACTGAGCTGACCTCAAACTTACTTTTGAAGTACCAGAGCCAGCTTTCACAGCATTGACTATACTGTTCAGGTGCAAGCCAATACCTGACGGCTTGGGAATGTTGATGGTAGAGTTTAAACTATTTCTAGAGCATGAAATGGGAGGGCCCACCTCATCAATGGTGTTGATGGGAGTTGATGATGTCTCTAAAGTTATTGGTCTTAACCCCTCAATGCCCAAAGTACTTTTAGCAGTCTGACTGGACATTACCTTGAGCTGAGCATCTTCAAACTGAAGACAACGTCTACGTACTCCCCGGTGTTGAAAAGCCTAAAATGTTTGGCAAATCTTCAGAAACAAAGAAGGAATTAAGGAAAATAATGTAAAGTTAAGGCCTTGCTTGTTTATAAAAAAGAACGTTCTGATATTTTGTGTTGACTAGAATTTATTTGAAAAAAAAGTTAGTATAGTTAGTTGTTAGTGGGTTTTTAAGAATGTATTAAAATAGTATTTAAAATAAAATGATTAAAATTGATTTGATGTAAAAGTAGGAGATAAATGATTGGAAATGAAAGGTAGTTCAAAGTATGTGAGTAGATGAATAGTTAATTAAAGTTAATGTGATGTGCAAAAATCTCACCTAGTGACCTTCCATAGTGGACGACACTCAAGTCAGATCGACTTTATCCTTGCAAGGAGGGAGGATAGACGCGCTTGCGTAGATTGCAAGGTGATACTTGGGGAGTGTGTTGTCCCCCAGCATAAGCTGGTGGTGGCGGATTTTCGATTCCGAATTCGTGTCCATCGGGACAAACGTGTCAAGACCGTGAGAACGAAGTGGTGGAAGCTTAAAGGGGAAGCGGCGCAGACGTTTAGGGATAGGATACTAGGTGAGGGGCCTTGGGAAGAAGGAGAAGATGCAGATGACATGTGGCTAAAGATGGCAACATGTGTATGGAAGGTGGCTGCAGAAGTACTTGGTGTGAGTAGAGGAGGTAAGCAGGAAGCGAAGGACACTTGGTGGTGGAACGACGAGGTGCAAAGGGCTATTCAGGAAAAGAAGGAGTGTTTCAAGCGTCTCCACCTTGACAAGAGTGCAACCAACATTGAGAGCTATAAAATAGCGAGAAGGGCTGCAAAGCTTGCCGTGAGTGTAGCGAAGGGTCAGGCCTATGATGACCTTTATCAGCGCCTAGTCACGAAAGAGGGGAGAAGGACATTTATAGGATGACTAGGATTCGGGAGAGGAAGACAGGGGACATCAACCAAATCAAATGCATCAAGAATGGGTCGGATCGGCCACTGGTGAAGGATGGGGAGATCAAGGACAGATGGCGAGAGTACTTCGACAATTTGTTTAATGGGGAGAGTGAGGGTCCTACCCTGGAGTTGGAAGACTCATTTGAGGATACCAATAGACGCTTGGTGAGGAGAATTCGGGAGGCAGAGATCGGAAAGGCTATGAAGAGGATGAAGGGGGTAAAGCAATGGGCCCTAATGGTATCCCCATTGAGGTGATGAGATGCTTGGGCGCCAGAGCGTTAGTATGGCTAACTAAGCTTTTTAACTTCATTTTCCGGTCAAACAAGATGCCTGATGAATGGAGGAGAAGTACTTTAGTATCGATCTTCAAGAACAAGGGAGATGTTCAAAACTGTAGTAACTACCATGGGATTAAGTTAATGAGCCATACGATGAAGCTCTAGGAGAGGGTTATCGAGCATCGCCTACGACGAGTGACGAGTGTGACCCAAAACCAATTTGGGTTTATGCCTGGAAGGTCGACCATGGAGGCGATTTTCCTAATACGGCAGTTGACGGAGAGATATAGGGACCAAAAGAAGGACTTGCACATGGTCTTTATCGACCTTGAGAAGGCTTATGACAGAATACCGAGGAATGTCATGTGGTGGGCCTTAGAAAAGCACAAAGTCCCATCTAAGTACATTACCCTCATCAAGGATATGTACAAGGATGCGAAGACGTGTGTCCGACCATGTGGGGGCGATACCAGCGACTTCCCAATTAAAATAGGACTACACCAGGGGTCAGCATTGAGCCCTTATTTATTTGCCTTGGTGATGGATGAGGCCACAAGGGACATACAAGGTGATATCCCTTGGTGTATGCTCTTTGTTGATGATGTGGTGCTAGTTGACGAGAGTAGGACAGGGGTAAATAGGAAGTTAGAGTTGTGGAAGGACACGTTAGAGTCAAAAGGCTTCAGACTTAGTAGGACGAAGACCGAGTACATGACGTGCGCTTTCAGCATGGCTACACATGATGATGGTGACGTTAGTCTTGACGGGCAAGTGGTGGCCAAGAATGAGACTTTCCGGTATTTAGGATCGATGCTACAAAAGGATAGCGGCATTGATGTTGATGTTAGGTATAGGATTGCAACCGGTTGGTTAAAATGGCGTCAAGCTTCGGGCGTTCTCTGTGATAAGAGGGTGCCACAAAGGCTAAAAGATAAGTTCTATAGGACGGCGATTCGCCCAACGATGCTATACGGTGCTGAATGTTGGCCTACAAAAAGGAAACATGTCCAACAACTAAGTGTAGCAGAGATGCGTATGTTGCGTTGGTTCTACGGGCACATAAGAAGGGATAGAATCCGGAATGAGGATATTCGAGATAGGGTCGGGGTGGCTCCAATTGAGGAAAAATTGGTTCAACATCGGTTGAGGTGGTTCGGACATGTCTAACGGAGGCCCCCTGATGCACCGGTGCGTAGGGGAGTTCTACAGCGGGTCGCTGATGTAAAGAGAGGTAGAGGTCGACCTAAACTCACTTGGGAAGAGTTGGTCAAGAGAGACTTTAAAGATTGGAATATCTCCAATGATTTAGCGGTGGATAGGAGCGCTTGGAGGCTAGCAATCAACGTGCCAGAACCGTGACTTTTGCTCCTTTCTCTTTTTGCTCCAATCTCTTCCTTTTGTTTTGAGCCCCCATGGTTCTCTTGGGTTTCATCTCTAGCCTACCCCAACTTGCTTGAGACTAAAAGGCTATGTTGTTGTTGTTGTTGTTGTGATGTGCAAGAATGATTCAATAATATAATATTACTTAATTATATTGATAGTATTAAGGATGTGGGGTTGAGTTAAAGTTGAGTTAGATTTTGAATTGGGATAGATTTTTTTTTTCTAGAAATTTGATAAACAAGGACGGCCTAACAGATTTCCCAGTCATTTCTCAGAATGTATTCAGCTGAGAAGGTAGCAGAATATTCAGTCCTCGAGTCCAAATCAAGTCAAGGTTCAGAAACAAACAAGAAGCAGGAGTAATTTGACATCCACAACACTCATCACCAATAATTCATTCATCCAAAACAAATAAAAAGAATATACTGAGAGGAGTACTTGCATGTTGGGCAAAAGGTGTAAATAAATTTATAATCTTTGAGGAGCTGATGGATCTGGAAGTTTTTATGAGAAGCATGCAGTATTAGACTCTTGAAAATTAAATCTCGAGAAAAAATTAGTACATTACGTTTTACAAGAAAACAGAAGACAAATAAAAGCACCTACAAAGGAGCCCCAGCATTGTAGAACATATAAATCAATACAATATATATATATATATACATGTAGCATAAATATTCAAACCTCGCGGTCATCATCGTGCACTCTTACAAGAGATGGTTCAGTCAAAACTGCTCCAGTAGCCTCAGCAAGAATTTCATCCTCTTCCCCTATTTCCACCGAACCTGAAAGAAAATGACACGATTGATCTGAATGATCAGCCAGCTCGACCTCCGCATTCTGCAATTTCAAGTTATTAGACACCCANAAAAACGTATATGAACATTTAAAATCGCAGAAAATGGATCATTATCAACCTCGTCCATATTATCTTCTTCTGTCTGATTGATCAACTCATGTTCCATCTCATGACAGTGGTCACCAGAAACACCATCCACCCGATTTGTATCTTTTTCCATAGCATTCACATCAATTGATATATTTTCTTCAAGTACCTCTTCATTATGCATTCTAATAACATCAGTCCGAAGAGCTATTTGTTTGCTAGTTCTTGAATTAGTTTCGGATTCGCACACATGGTCCATGATAAGTTCCTTTGCTTCTGTTCCAGCATCTGGTGGCTGATCAGTGTATTCAGTTTTTTCAGAAGGTGAATTATTTGAGAATTTCTGATTTTCAGATTCCCCCTCCACAATGTCAGCCAAGAACTGCTCGGGGCTTCCTGCAGAACTTTCGGTTGAGTCATTCTCAGGGCAATTGCTATCTGTGGCCTTTTCAAGCCTAGTGCTCAGCTGAATATTCAGCTTTCCATATCCCTTGCCATCTTCAGCATGCCCGGCTAAAAGTGAAGCGGAAGCTCTAGGAAAATGTGCCCTGCTTTTACATTTACATATCAAATTAATTACGTAGATATGAAATTGAAGGTTAATCAAAAAGGAAATTTATTTTTCACGCAACATGAAATAGAAAACCTTTTAAGAAAAGCTGACCGCCTATGGAGATTAAGTTGAGGCGAAGTGAATACAAGAGGAGGAGAATTCAGCTCAGGGAAGACTTGTGTAACTGGTGCAGCTCTCACTGTCTGTATGGGGGAAAGGTTGCTAAGAAAATTAAAAACAGGCGAATCCTGAGACCCAAAGGAAGCAGCATGTGAGAATTTTGAGGAATACACCTCGCAGAGAAAAATCATTTCTTTCGAAAGAAAAAAAAAAAATTAAGAAAGCCCTCATTACTTGCGAGATGCAAAGCATGTCAGTAACCAAAAATAAAAAATAAAAAATAAAAAAATTGTATTTGGTGCAACAGGAGTGCAATATGCAGAAACAAAAAGGGTTAATTTAGCATCTTTAAACAAGAAACATGAACCGGCAGATAAATTTCTGTCAACCTTGTAGTTTCTACAGAAGTCATGCATTTACTATCAAGAGAAGAAGTTCAGTAAGTGCATAGAATAAACTAGAAGGACAAAACACAAAAGAAATTTGCATCAACACCCATTGAAAATAAGTGGAAACATAATGTCCATGTTAAAAAACAAAAAGTTCGACTCTCCCTGCTCTTTACATTGCTTGGAATCCGGAAAGTACATATTACTTATACAGAAATTTACTTCATCACCCAACCCAATATTCCAAACTGCCCGGCAAGCGACATCCATTAATCCCGCATGCTACCGAAGTTTCAAACAAAGAAAACAACCAGGCATCATGCCCAAATCAATACAGCACACCATGTCACTTAAATTTCCTGCTAAAAGCCTCACAAGGTAACCTCACCTTCTAGCATATGCAAGCTGAAAATCCAGCAACTGACCCTGACACTTCATTTTTTTTTTTTAAGAGCAAAGGGCAAGCCCAAATTCATCCAACAAGAAACCAACTACAACACTTCTCACATTAGTAAACAGTAATAACATTTTTGGTTCCTCTTTCAAGGTTAAACTAGGATCATACGCCTATCTACACACAAACTGAACAAACCCAGAAAAAAAGTTCGAAATTTCATACAAAAGATTCACCAAAACAACATTTGACACAAGGAGAGAATGTGTGCAGGCTACCCCAAATTCATCTCACCAGAAACCAACTATAACACTTCTCATTTTAGCATACAGTAATAACATTTTTGGTCCCTCATTCAATCCTTTACATCTTGGGGGTTAAAACTATGATCCACAGACATCCCAACCAAACCCAGTAAAAACCCAGAACATAAAATTCAGAAAAAATTCATACAAACGAATCACCAAAAACAACATTTGGTACAATCAAAAGAGTGTGCGCATGTACTTGAGCAGGCGCAGTTTCACAGTTGGTCGAGGTAAGCTTGGAAGACTCAGGAGAGTCCATCTTCGAAAACCCTAATTGTAATTGTAAGCCCAATGTTCAGCCCTCCGCCATCTCTAACCTTCTCCCTACCTATCTACCCTATGTCTCTAAAACTTTTCATTTTTCATTTCCATTTTTAGTTTGGGGTTTTAATTTTCACTGTAAATGCGAATGTGTGTTGGCGTGTATGTGTGAATGTGTAGTAAAGATTTTGATACTATTGTTAAAAAACATTTCTCAACTTTTATTTCTTATTTTTTTTCGAGTTTCTTTTATTTTACGGCCTGCAGCAAGCGAGAAAAAACAGTGAAATTTTCAAATTGGCGGTTTGGGCGGGAAAATGGTGGTTTGCTAATGATGTTAGGGCTGAGGCCCAATGACTATGCAATGTCCGCTTTTCTATCCATTAAAAATTAAATTGGGCTTCGTTCTCATTTCTAACTGGCCCAAAATTTAGCACTAATATTTAGGCTTAAACCAGTTTTTAGGTGCGATCGATCAATAGTGTAGAGAATGGCATAGGATAGGACCTACCCAAAAATAAAAAATTGCAAATTAACTTACAAGTTGCAAACTTTAACAAAATGTAATTAAACCTGCTTTAAAGGGTGATATTTTTTATAATTACTTTTTTATTATGAGAGTCCAGTCCACACCACCAACTACATAATATAAGCTGAATTTCGAAAATTGCAAAAAGTTCAGAAAGAAGTTTATTAATTTGCCAAATTGAAAATTTATAAAAATAAAAAATAAAAAGAAACGGATCGCGTTAGGCTTATAGCAAACCGAAACACACCTATTAAGTAAGCCACGGGACTAAGTTGAAAAAACACTTCCAAAAACAAATAAATAAAATAGAAACCCCAGACTAGAGAGTTTTCCAGTACGAGTACGGAGTCTCCAAACAATAAGTCCAAATCAATTCAAGTATTAGCAAGCACATTCAATTCAAACATCAAAGCTCAAATCTGCAGCCCACATTAACACAGAACATAAGTCAGACAAACAAACATCCACAGCAAATCTCAAACTCCGAGTACTCTAGTAAAACAGTAAAAGTTTACCACAAACCATAAATAAAGAGAAAAAACCATAAT